ACGTCTGCTTGCAGCAGTGCGCAGCCGATGAAAAAGTCCGAAGCATCACAGACGACGTTGAAAAGACGACCAGGGTCTGGCAGCGCCAGTATTGGTGCATGCAGGAGGTTGACTTTGGCTCCTTCAAAAGCCTCCTGATGTTCGTTGTTCCAACACCATTCCGTATTCTTTTTAAGGAGATTGAATAATGGTCGGGCCAAATCTGCGTAGTTTACGCTGTACTTGTGCAAGTTGTTGGTAAGATCAAGCCACATATGCAAGTCTTTCCGGTTCTTTGGAACCGGCCAGTCTACAATGGCCTTGACCTTAGCGTGATCCGCTCGAAGGCCACGCTTCCCAAATAAAGCACCCTAAAAAAGGGAATTTTGTCTACGCCAAAGGTGCAGTTGTCTGCGTTGGCGTACAGTTTGCTCGTGCGCATGCACCCGAGCACCGCTCTTAAAAGGACGATGTGGCTCTCCGCATCCGTTCTCCCGTGCTCCGCACGACTGTGGACGAAAATGTCGTCAAAGTTTGTCCATGCAATGGCCGATTGGGCCTAAACAACTGCGGAACAAGACGATTAAATGTGGCCGGTGCATTTGACAGCCCTTGGTGCATCACCGACCACTCCCAGAGCATGCAACACACTACTAATGTCGGCCGCTGCCATGATCGTCTCAGATCCGTAAGTCCCGTCAAAATTGCTTTCCTGCAACACGCAGTGTAATTTTGAGCAGGTTTGGGGTTTTCCTCTCCATTAAGAAATATTATTCGGTACAGTGAGCCCTTGCTTGATCATCTTGCTCTTCCCTCGTACTCTCATTTTTGAATTGAAATAGTTGCTACCGTTAATACTTTGCAGCATTTTAATCTTCACCTCCATTTTCAGGAGATATTTCCCATTCGCATCTAAAACTTCGTTTTCCCTTCGCATACTGCACAACGTCACGTAGTGAATCGTCATCATGATCCGTGTCACGATATATATGTATCCCCGTTTCGATGCTTGTGTATTCGATTTGATACACACGATGCTGTCCGTGCGTCTTCCCTTCATGACCTCTAGCTCACAATTTTTTCGCACTTATTCGGCCGTTGCACAAACACCACACACAGTAACACATTTAGTTGGTGTACGGTTGATTCGTCTATCCTTGATCTTCATTAAGCGTGGTGACTGATGCATATCTCAGTCGCCGATGCCCAACTGGATGTCATCGTCCACGACATGGCTTTCGCTTCTTCCATCGATGTCAAGATACATAGGCTTAATCTGCTTCAGACCGGCTGCTACATGAATATTTTCACGACTCACAACACATCATAGTGACCATCATTCCACGCGCCGTTGCCGCTGTTAGTTGAAACATATTCTTGTTTAAATCTTTCACTTGCAGCACGTTCTCCATGCGAGCGTTAGTCCAGGAGCGTCCAGTCCAAACTCGAAGCTCTTTCCGAAGCAAGTGACTTTCTAGGCAGCATTATTTCTTGCGCTTGTTACAATGTGAAAGGGCTTAATCTTCACGAAGTCCTCAAACATATTGCGTGACTTGCACGTATGTGCTGACGATCCACTATCCATGACCTTGCCCTCGCTCACAAACCCATCAGTTACGCTAAATTGCCATGTTCGACTGGACTTGAGATTCGTCGTTTGGTCTTGACTTCTACTAGCTATCTCTTGGTTCTAAGAGGCCCTATTTGTGACCTCCGCGTTGCTTCTATTTTGGTCGCTTCTCTTTGCTAAGTAGTGCGGTCACTTCTTCAATGCGCGTTGAATTCTTCTACCGTACTTCATTATGTCAATCCACTCGCTCGCCAGATCATCAAGCTTGAGTTTCTGCTCCGACCGGTAAAACGTTTGCACCATGTTCTAAAAGCTTACTGGCATGCTCCATAGAGTCGTCACGAGCTTCTGCAAGTCTTTCACGTGCTCACTAACGGAGGATGCCCTGAACAGAAGCAATGGGAACTTTCCTTGAGCACAAGCGATTCACCATGTCTTGTGTTTGTGGAACGTCGTTAACGTGTCCCACGCCCCCTTCGCGCTGAATTCTGTCATTACGTGCAACAGCTACGAATTGCCAAGAATACGCACAATCTTTGCGTGCGCTTCATGCTCCTTTACCTTAGATACTCCCTTTTTACCCATCACCGCCTCCCACACTCTCTTCGACAACAGGTACATTTTCAGCGTGTAAAAGGCTCGATATGAACTTGGTTTTGCTACTTGGGCTCATAACCTCGAGAAGTTAAGGCGCTGTAAATTTATCTGTTTTTGAAGTGGTGAAACAATGGTGAGTTATGTCTGCAAATTTAAAAATTGTGGCTGTGAGACATCGCTTCTTCGTTTCTACGCCCCTTCGTAAATAATTCGCTAGTCACTACACTGTATCATATGCACTATAAAAGGTCGTTGTGTGGTGGGGGGCATTACTTGTGGAAGATAAGTCCTGGTGAATCCGAGAACCAGTTCACAATGGTCGGTTGTAAATAATTTAACCACGGTGAAGTTTGAATCCACACCTAGTCAATCCGGGCTCCCCTCAATAACGACTGCGCCATTAAGTTGCCTCGCGAATCGCAAGTATGACATGCAGCATACACTCATGAGTCGTGGCACATCACTATTCAACGACTGCACCCATTTGAAATACAAGAATGAATTTTGCCTCTCGCATCAGGTTAAGCGTGTTATACAAATCGCACTCAGATAATTTGAAGGCTGAACATCAGCAAAAGTTTTGCAAAATTTATGAATAAGAAAATAGCTGCCGAGAGAGTCGGTAGCTCAGCGCTTGGTATATTTAAGGTTAAAATAGAATTCCACACAATGCATAAGTCATTGCTTTTGACATGTGATCCACATCACAATTATCGCAGAATACATTAAATCATGTGCTATTACATTAATGGTAGTGCAACCTCGGACCTCTGCTTGGCATAGTACTATGAATGTTCATAGTTACAGAAAAATGTAGATCGTTTAATTGTATGTAATGTATACATCCAGCACCTATGACGGCTCTTTGATGTCTGTGTCCAGAGCTGCATGTTCCGAAACACTATGGAATTATCGTGGGATCCACCACTCAATTTCCAGTTGAGATGTTCTTAAACATGCGTCATCATCTTCGATTACCCTTACGACCGCACAACAAACATCTTTTCAAATTTTTACGCTCACAACTTTAATTGACTGATCTCTGCAATGGTCAATTCCGATTCCGTAGATCTTGGTAATGGCTGGGCGCCTCTGTCTTTGAACATGACGCTGAAATATACAAAATCTAGTTGTGGTTCGACTGCTATATCACGTTTGAATAGTAATCTCCAGACTTCTCCGAAAATTGTTGTGGCTCGAAGTCAACTTGAGGTACTTCGGGTCCTGAAAGAAGAAGGTTTATCCGTGATGAATGCACATGACATCAATACGTACGCTACAGCTCTAATCATGGCAGCAAAGAGAGGTCATGTTAACCATATTCACTGTCTACTGGATCGAGGTGTGAATGTCAATGTTCAAAACTTTGAGGGATCCAGTGCGTTACACGTCGCTGCTAACGTTGGTCGGCTGGAAATTGTCGAGCTATTATTAAATGCTCGAGCTGCAGTTGATCAGAAGGATGTGAACTCGTGGACTCCATTAATGTGTGGAGTCCAGGAAGGACATATGGATGTTGTGCATGCTTTAATAAGTCGACATGCATCACTCGAGTGGCAGAATCATAAGGGGGAAACGGCGTTGAATATTGCGGTGCATTATGATCGATTTGAAATTGCTCAACTACTTCTAACTGTCGGTGCCAATGTCAATATGGTAGACAAAGGAGGTCGAACCCTTTTAATGAATACCTCTCAAAATGGACACCTTGTGTGGGTTAGAATTCTACTCAAGAATGGAGCGAGTTTGGACTTGAGGTGTAAGTCGGGACACACAGCATTACATTATGCAGCAATACATGGCGAATTGGATATCGTACGAACATTGCTAAGGGCTGGTGCTGATGTCATGGCTCGCGATCATGTTCATGGCTTCACACCGCTCATGTGTGCAGCAGCATTTGGCCACACTGCTATTGTAAAAGAACTTCTTCCATTGAGTTACCAGCATGATATGGATGCTATTGAAATACGAAGCAAAAAAGGATATACAGCATTATATCTTGCTGCATTAAATCAACACCCAACGGTGTGTAAGCTATTGTTGGATAAAGGTGGAGCTGAAGTCGATGCAGTGGGATTGAAAAATTACACACCACTCATGGCTGCTGCAAAACGAGGGTTTCCAAACATTCTTCAGGTGCTGCTCGGTCGTGGAGCTAATGTTGAAGCCACGAATCAAGATGGCAATCGGGCATTAGAAATTGCTGCTCGAAATGGTCATGTTGAGGTTGCTCGACTTTTATTGGAAAATGGTGCTTTTATTGACGCACCAAATCGCACTCGTGGATACACTGCCTTATCAACTGCTTCATTGCGTGGTCACACGAACGTTGTAAATCTGCTTTTAAGTCGTGGAGCTCATGTCAATGCACAGAGCTGCATTAGAGATACACCTCTTCTTCTTGCAGCGTCTCGAGGACGACTGCAAGTTGTACTTCTATTGCTTGCTCATGGTGCTTCACCAACCACACTAAATGATGTGGGGGAAACACCGTTGTCTTTGGCAATTGCTGGAGGCTACACAGAAGTTGCAGCAGCGATACGAAATGCGACTAACATCCGAAGGTTAGGCACTTACAAGAAGTAGAATATTCTAGTAGTACCGTCATAGTTAAATTCATTCTAATCTCTTTGGGTTTCATATGCCTCATATGCCTGACATTTCAGCATGCTTGAAAGAGCGAGTTATACAATTCCTAAATGAACACTATGAAGGCGAAATCTTGACATTGAATGTTGGCTTTCTCAATTTATTCAGCACCCATAGACCCACTCGGTTTCGAAAGAGTCTGGTGTTGCTGTAAGTGACGACAGTAAAATGGAACCAAAGATGCGGTTTTCGTCTTTGTGGCTCACATTTGAGCTAGTTCAAGACCACATTTTTTCTAGCTTGTTTGATAAATTCGAAACGTATATCTTCGAATTCTACAAGCTGTAAATGTGCGTAAATATTTGACGAAGGATCTGTATGAAATAGTTCGATTCAATGTTCTGTAGTGAGAGAACGAGTTAGTTTGGAGCACGTTAATGCAAGTATTTGACTTGTTCAGATTGATATTTGACGTATTGCTTGACAATATTGGTGCGAAACACTACGCTGACTCGTCAGCTTAGAGAATTGATAGCTCAATAAACAACTGAGTCGTATGCTGAAACACAACAGACTGAAAATAAGTACACTGGCTAATCGATGGCATCAATATTGTCAAACAGGTCGTTTACTTTAATTAGCACCATAACGTGAGTTAACTATTAGCTTTCTTACTGTTCAATACCCATTCTGCTAGTCCATTCCCATGAATCGTTCGCTGCGTTTCTTGTGCCGTATCTGCAAAATCTTCCATTTTGTTCGATATCAGCATTTCCTAAGTTTCTTTCACGATCTTTTTTAATTCCTCTTTTAAAGCTATACGGAACAACGAATCTTCAATCGTTTTGTACATTGTGTAAAGCCTTACCCTCGTTTTGAGCGTCATACCTAAACGACCAAGACCCCACAAAGAATCGGGAAGTATTGCACAGATCAATGCAAAGTGCTTCAGCCGATCCCATTTCCGGAATGTTCGGATAACTTGGTTCGATTTGGTCTCGATCGTACTGTTGATAATTTCTCCAGCCTGCTCGTTTATAAGCATTGCAACACTCCGCAGGCCTCTGGATTTTACTGTGGTGGCGGAAGCAGCGGTAGATACTCTCACGTCGGAGTTGGCTGTCCTCCAACCAGCCATTTAATCGAATTTTAGCATATTTATTATTAACTTTTTGAATTATAAAACCTACATACTGTGTGACTTGTTTTATTATCGCTTTAATATATCCTCAGTCTCAGTATTAATGCTTAGGACAGTAGGATAAAAATCTGAAAAACAATTGTCCTGCAACAAAACATAACGTTTGCAGTCTGGATGCTGTAACGGATTCTTCCCATTCAAGTATAAGAAAATGATTGAGTACTCCTACGCTTCTAGTAGGGAGCTTGTAGTTTATATACCCTCCAAGTAATATACCTAATCTCATAGCACCACTTATTTAGATGTGGCAGACATCTGATCGCCAGATGGCGAAAATTTGCGCTCACCTTCCATGCAGGAAGTAGCTGGTCCAGTCAATCAAGTATGATACAGTGTGCCATCTGAAGTTATCAAATGTTGACAATGCTTGTTCGTATGATCTTACTGTAATTACACCTGATCAAGCATGAGGGTTGCCGTTCTCCTTGCACAGACATAGGTTTTATGTGACGGGTCACACGGCACCTTGCACAGAGGAAGCTTGACTTCCAAGAGTATACA